AGATCTGTATTTTAATCAGTTTGTCAAGACGATGCAGGGTGTGCGCCATTGTTACAATTCACCTTTAAGGATGACAATATATAAACATAAACACTCTAAGTTAATAGGTCAAGAGGTCAAGCAGTAAAACAATTGACCTTTCAACTAAAGTACTTCAAGTTCAAAACATTTAAAGAGTAAAAAATCTATATAAACTTTAAGACGAGGTCACCGAATATTATTATTTTTAACGAGCAGTCAATGCAAAGATACTCGAATTAAATTTATTCCGATTATTCAACACTTACCCATTGAGAATAAAACATATTAATATGTCAGTTTCAAATTTTCAAAATGGCGATGGAAATAAAAGAAATAAAATGGGGTTTAACGTTCTACTGTTCTATACCAATACAGACGGGCTAATATAAACGGACATACACCATATCCGCATCCTCTTCAACGAATTCCAGCTGTCAAGGCTTCTTGTATTGGACAGCTGTCTAGTCCTTCGGATGAGACGAAAAACCGAGGTCTCGTGTATACATTGGAATGCACGTAAAAGATCCCTTGGTAGTTGGAATTCGATATAAGAGCAGGCGATAGTGCCGTTGCCCGGGCAAAATTTCCCTCATAGCACACTGTATGGCGTATGCCCGTCTTCATTAGCCCAGCAGAGGAGCAGAACAGTAGGACGTTAAACTCCATTTCATTTCTTGTATTGACAGTGCGCTGCATCATAAGGGGTGTTATTGAGTCAACTGATGTGGTTTCGATTCCTGGCTTGTACATGACAAGGAGTAGGGTCGGCTGTCTAACCTCATGGGGTTTCTCCGGTTTCCTCCCACTATTAAAAACCACACGTGCAAGCGAAGTTTTGAAATAAGATTGAACTATATGTTAGTCCCGAAATGACATAGTTTGTGTCGATTGAACGTTAAACCCCATTTCTCCCCTCTCCCCCTCTCTTTCTTTTTAGAGGAACGTCAACGTATAGACAATACCTCTGGTCTTCGTCCAATTCGAACGGCTAGACACAGTTCCTTGTCAGAGAGAACTAGGCTGAAAATTTTCGAGGAATTTTTTCGGCAAACACCGGGATCGAACTTGATACCGTATACTCTGCTGCACAGAGCACGCAATATAATAAACTCAGTGATTTTAACAGGAATGAACAACACAGACGGAGAGAAGATGCCAGGGACCATAAATCACCATTACTATCCATCGATCATTATAAGCAATATATAAGTACAAGGTAGTTTTTTTTCATCCATCTCCGAAAAACCGCGATCCCAATTACCCTAACAATAACGCGCAATCCACATATGACGTCATATGTGCAGGGCCGTCTCCGATCTGGTGTTCTCCAACCTTCGTGTAGTAGAGGCCATCGAAAGTATAAAAAACGAAACGAAATATAGATCTGTATTTTACTCAGATTGGTTCTTCACACAACGCTTTATAGTGAGAAACCTGGAGTCATTTGAAATAGGTGCCCCTCCTAAAATTACTGTCTTACTTCAAACATGGGGTCACGCGACATCTTGACAAAATCTAGTATTTCTTGTATGTAATTTTAAATGAAACCCTCTGATGTTAGATTATCCAGTGTTTCTGCTTATATGTAAAACCAGTCAAACCTGTTTTATAGTCCATGTTATCATGACGCAAGAAATCTTTTGATGTAACACACCCCCTCTCTTCAGATCTTGATCTCTTTGAACAGCTACAGGTGTAATGTGTGCAGACCTTTAATAACTTTTTTTTACTTTATCTTTTATTAAAGTCCACCGCCCACAAGATTTATTAAGCAACAGGCTAATGACCTTAAAGCAGCTAAAATCGCTTTCATTTGGGTCAAAATTTCTGTTATATCTAAATGGTTAAAGATTTAAGGTATCGTGTCAATTTTTTTTTCATTTGGTGACCTGATAATCTATTGCCGCTCCATTAGAGGTCTATACAGTGCATGACCCACATTTTTATAAAATAAAAGTCTGGTTTAATCCAGACACCGTACAGTATAATACAGCTTGGGACACCGGTCTCCATTTTCAGATGAAGACTGACGGGTTTAAGTTGTAAAAGGTATATTATAAGGTATATTAAATTAGTTTCTCGGTCCTAATGTAGAGGATTTTAGGGGCTTTTAACACAAAATTAAGCAGTTTAATTCTCCAAAATATAATCGAGATTGACCCTTTAATCTTCGACAGCAGAACACTCCAACTGTCGTATCTGAACACTGGCTTTATTTTTCCATGTAGAATTTCCAACAAGATAAATTGTCATCGCACAAAATTAATCAACGAAATCGAACGAAATAAACAAATGTTCGACCCAAATCAATATCTCTAGTTATTTTTAATTTCTACATGTAGTATTAAGGATTGAATTTAAAGTGTCAATTTAGTAATCCATTTGATCAGAGGCAACACCCACACTCCTTAATTGCTTCGGAGATATGTCGGTCGGGGGGGGGGGGAGTGGGGTGGTTGTGCACGGACACTGCGAAACCCATAGGATTTGTACCCTGGACTATCCTTTTGACAATTACAGACTTCTATGGAACACCAGAGTGCAAATGAAATGTGTTCTGCTAGTATACTGGGCTAATGAAGACGGGCATACGCCATATAGTGTGCTATGAAGGAAATTTTGCCCGGGCAGCGGCACTATGGCCTACTCTAATATCGAATTCCAACTGCCAAGGGTTCTTTTACGTGCATCGCCTGTTCAACCTCGTGAGTTTTCTCTGGGTCCTCAGGTTTCCCCACACTGCTAAAGACCCCTACGCGCAAGCGAATTATTGGAATAAAATTAAACCATATGTTAGTCCCGAGTGGACGTTAAACCCCATTTCTCTTTTACGTGCACGCCAATGTATACAAGACACCTCGGTTTTTCGTCCCATCCGAACGACTAGACAGCTGTCCTTGTCCGGCCTTCCGTCCTGCACCACTGACAAGGGACCAGAGTGTAACCTGTCTATATAAACTGTTTGTAATAAAATGGAATGCTGTATCTATTTACATACAGGATATCTCTTCAACATATTTAACTAAATAAACAATCCTCTCATATTAAACAGCTTTATAATTCTATATTTACTTCACAATATAATAACACTGCAGTTTGTTTATTATGGAAGATGCAATACGGAAGTCGGCTCGGATTGCTTTTATGCAACACAGATTTAATATAAAAAAACGATAAAGTAATCGGGGAAATCAGACTGATAATTCTGATGTTTTTGTTTTCGTACATCTACGAGGTTGGACAGGCGACCCTACTCCTTGTCACGTACAACCGGGGAATCGAAAACACACCAGGTCTTATGATCCAACCCCCCAGGTGCAATAAGGAAGCCAGTTTACATTGCTTTTATGCAACACAGATTTAATATATGAAAAGACGATGAGAATGTAATAATTGGAAAAATCAGACTGATAATTCTAATGTCTTTGTTTTCGTATATCTAAATGCGACTTGAGCACATCGGAGAAATGAAATGAAATCGGGATTACCGTCCTAATTGTCTGCACAAACCGCCCGGAAAACGGGTTCTTTTACTTGCATGTCGACGTGTAAGCGGGACCCCCAGCTTTTCGTCTCATCCGACAGACTAGACACTGTTCCTTGTCAGGCCCTGAACTCCACTTTCTCGGCCAACACTGGATCGAATCCGGGAACCCATGGTTATCAAGCCAAGCCCTTCTCATTGAGATACCGTGGCTCCCCACATCTGTGAAATCAGACGTCCACTCGACACAAACTAGGTCATTTCGGGACTAACATGTGGTTCAATTTAATTTCAATAATTTGCTTGCGCGTAGGGGTCTTTAGCAGTGGGAGGAAACCGGAGGACCTGGAGAAAACCCACGGGGTTGGACAGGCGACCCTACTCCTTGCCACGTACAACCGGGGATTCGAAACCACGCCAATTGACTTAACCCTTGTGGGTTCACGTTGTGAGAATCACATAGCAGGTATCATGGGGTCCATATGGACCCCAGTTATAATTCAAGTTTTTACGTACAAATATATTTGAATTAAAAGGCAGCGGTTTGCTTTTTATTTGCATTCATATTTGACGTCTGAAAATCAACTAAATTATTATCAAAAAACATTTTAGTGGCATATGGAAAAGCTTTAATAATTCTCACCAAATTGCTACTTTGTGTACTATGTGATAAAGAGGTTAAATGGCAATTCATGCTTGATACAGAAAACATTCAATATTTGGAATTCATCATTTAATTTTTGGTATTTGTAACATGCAAATGCTAAAAGAGGGAATACTCTGACATACGCAATATGGTATCAGACAGCAAACACATTGGCGAAATCACTACTGTGAGTTATAAGTTAGGGGTCCGGTCATAGGCGTACGGGGCCGAACTTGTTTGGGGGGGCCAGCATATTTTCCCGACAAATATATTTCTTTACAGTCCGCCGAGCCGCGGGCGGGTGGGAAATCAGACGTCCACTCGCCACAAACTAGGACTTTTCGGGACTAACATGTGGTTCAATTAAATTTCAATAAAGGGGTCTTTAACAGTGGGAGGAAACCGAGAGACCCAGTGAAAACCCACGAGTTTGAACAGGCGACCCTACTTCAAACAATCAATCGAAGTCACAACAATTAAAATGTATTTTGAGTAAGACTGTTAAATAATTAATACATCTGCATTAGCCCATTCGGAGCAAAACAGTAGAACGTTAAACCCCATTTCATTTCGTTAAAAGATCAAGCCTACTAGCTCGACTATGTACGCTTTTCTTTATTACTTTCAAGTGAATTTATGTCCTAAAATGATAAATCACTTCCTTTGTAGGGTTTTGTGTTCGAGACATAACAGCTCTATAGGTCAAAGGTGAACAAATATAGGTCAAAGTTTAGTCTAGTTAAACGAATTATGAACGGCAGATTTTTTTGTCGTAAAGCACGAGACATAACTCATGTCAAAGGTTACAGGTCAGGGGTCAAGGGTCATCAAAGATAATAATTTACTTACCATTTCTCCTTTCAGATCTCGACATGAACAACCCCTGTTACACCGACCCTAGAATAAAATAAAGAATACACGTCCTTAGATTAAAGATGCATTATGTACGAGCTAAGTCTGCCGAATGGAGGTCTGTATTTTGTATTATATCGTCAGTGGTTCTCAACCTTTTTTTGCAAACACATGAAAAAATAGCGGCACACCTGGCTATAAATAATATATGAAAAATATTTGATTTTTGCAAAATAAAAACATGGCAACTTATAGACGACATACAACCGTAGACACTGACTAGTCATAGACACATAGAATGACTCCAACTCAGTAAAGAAAAACACAGCTATGAACTTACCAGTAGACACCAATGAATACTCAATTGGGATCACGTGGTTTTTCGCATTTTCTTAGTGTGCCATTAAAAATTTCGCGGCACACATAGAAAGATCTCGCAGCACACTGGTTGAGAATCACTGATATGGACATTTATTCACACGAAAAGCTTATAATCAACCCTTTACTTCACAGGATGACCGAGATTTAAAAGGATTAGAACACCAGCGAGATTAAAAATGATAATTAAAATAAAAAACGACTAGAATGGACTAGGCGCAAACGAGTGCTTTTCAGTTTGGACTGTTCGCATATTTCCCCGAACATAATTGATTAAAAATTTAATGTAAAATCACTTTATACTTTCATATTATATTTAACATTAATATGTGCTTTTGGACCTATTTTCTTTCATTTTAACTTGTTTTTTTTTTTTAAAAAAAGAAAAAAAGAGCTATACACCCTTTAAGTATATAAATTTGCTCATAAATTTTTGCTGTACTTCTGTACTAAATTGCCTACATCTGTTGATAATAATATATTTTATTTATTTATTTATATGATCGCTTGAAGTTATTATTTGCATATGCATACATGTAATATATTCATTCGCCATGGCTATTTCTGACCTGTTGAGAAGAGCAGGGCCATGTTTGTTATTTACTAATAATTCAAGAACACTTCTACTCGGTGGGTAGATTTGATTTTCCATACCATATATTCGCGTATGTAAGGATAAAACTCGTAAGAACTACAAACTATTTTTAGCTATGTGAGATTCTCAAATGGGAGAGAGCGAGAGAGAGAGAGAGAGAGAGAGAGGGGGAGGGGGTTAACGTCAACTTGACACAAACTAGGTCAATAATTGGCGTGCGCGTAGGGGTCTTTAGCGGTTGTCACGTACAACCGGGGAATCGAAACCACACCTGTTGACTCAATGACAGACCTTATGACACAACGCGCTCGCGCTAACTATTCGGCGATCCAACCCCCCTTCTAAAATGAAAATTGGTATGAGGGGTTTCCTAAAGAATACGCATAACCTACCCCGTGGACAGCACTACTTATAGCAAACCGAATCGATGGTTTGGACCTGAATTTCAGAAACGAAAATCACTCCAAACAATCCCATACAAAAAATGTCACCAAAAAAAACCCCCACCCAAATGTTTTAAGAATACACAAGAGACTTCTGAGATTTATCTTGGTCTGGCAAGGGACGACGCATAGTCATTCAGATGGGGCGAAAAAAAAGAAACCATGTGTACATTTGGCGTGCACGTAAAAATCCCTTAACAATGCCTATGTCCGGGAAAAATTTACCTTGTGGCTTCCTACGTATACCGTTTTTTCTATCTGACAAAATGAAAATGAATCATAGTTTATATGTTTCTAACTATTTACTATAGGGAGGGTGGGGGGGAATGGCCGAATGGTTAGCACGTGCGCGATGTATCATAAGGCCTGTCATTGAGTCAACTGGCGTGGTTTCGATTTGCCGGTTGTACGTGACAGGGAGTAGGGTTGCCTGTCCAGCCTCGTGGGTTTTCTCCGGGTCCTCCGGTTTCCTCCCACTGCTAAAGACCCCTACGCGCAAGTGAAATAAGATTAAACCATATGACCAAGTTTGTGTCGAGTGGACGTTAAACCCAATCTCTCTCTCTCTGTTTATTATTATTACTATTATTATTATTATTATTACAGCATATTTATAGTGCACCCTTTCATATAACATGTTCAGGGGCACTTTACAAAGTGACGATGTAAATCACACATAAACAACAAGATTATGGGCATGTTAACGATTGTATACAGAGTCAGTTAAAAGCCTGATTAAATTAATGTGTTTTAAGTTGTTTTTTAAAAGAATATAGAGATGTACAACATCTTAAACTAAATGGTAGATTATTCCATAAAACAGGTGCTTGATAACTAAAAGAGCGCTGACCATAAGAGACTAGTTGAACACCATAGCTTGTAACATATTAGTGTCGGTATGTTAAATGTCTATATTTCATCTATGAAAGACTGTCACTGGTGACTTATAATGATATCTAAATATATCCAATTTAACACAACTTGTTGATATAGCGGATATCGCCATGGTCTGTAAATACACGACATTGTGAGGTATAAATTAACTAACAGATGTAAAATTTCTGGTTCTATGTCACTTAATACATTCTGGATGAATCTCCTTCTATTTACAGGCCTTTCTCCCTTTGAGTACAAGTTACTCGTCCTTTTATGGTTAATTAAATTCCCGATGCGCCATTTGTATTTTTTCTAAAATATAAAATTTCTCACGGCTTAACCTACGCTAATATATACTAAGATTGATTTTTAACACTGATTAATTAAACATACATTATGCAAGAGCAAAATCTGTCTATTGCAGGCCTTTCTTTAGGCCTGAAATGTTATCTATATTATTAATTAGACATTTATAATTAACTTATCCAGACCATAATAAACTCTCGATGTCAAGGCTAGCCTTCGATGTTGGCTGGATTAGATTCCTATATGCCGCTTAACGGCCATTGATAATTAAATCAAAACAGTGGATAATCGAGACTATGCTGTTTATATTAATGATTTTAGTAATGATGACCGAGACTATGGGAAAATTTCACCCGCTTCGTTCTCGGCCCATAGTGGATCAATTTGACTGAAATTTTCTCCGGCTTGGATTCAATCGGATTTAAAATAGGCCTACAATTAAATTTGGCGGCGGGGTATCGCATAGAGAGTAGCATAGATTGATGAAATGTCAATTCCACATATTTTTGTAAATACTGAACACAATTGAACAATTTTTGGGCTGATATTTCTATTAGAGATTCTATGATAGCGCTAAAATGATTTCAATACCCAAAACAAATTCTTACAGTGTGTTTTATACAGAATTTGATTGAGTATCGAGAAGTTTAACAAATCAGAATGTAATGAATGTTTTTTCAATTTTATTCATTGAAGCCACGCAGTCACCTCTGTCCCTCCCTGGAGGGTGGATGGCCCAATGGTTAGCACGTGCGCGCTGCGCTGTATCATACGGTCTGTCATTGAGTCAACTGGTGGGGGTTTCGATTCCCCGGTTGTACGTGACAAGGAGGAGGGTCGCCTGACCAACCTCGTGGGTTTTCTCCGGGTCGTCCGGTTTCCTCCCACTGCTAAAGACCCCTACGCGCAAGCGAATTATTGAAATAAAATTGAACCATGTGTTAGTCCCGAAATGACCTAGTTTGTGTCGAGTGGACGTTAACCCCATTTCTCTCTCTCTCTCTCTCTCTCTCTCTCTCTCTCTCTCTCTCTGCTCCTCCCTAAGGCATTTACATTATAAAAATTACAATTCGTAAAGAACTAGTGTTCAGCGTTAATGAGCTCTTAATCCCTCTTACAAGTTCATTAACTTAATAAAACAAGAACAATCCTATGTCGAAATCACCATTTCACAGATATTATTTGGTGGTACCAAAAGGCCTCGAGTTAAGAAATATCGACAACTTGATACAAGAATTGAACATATGAAAACACAGTTATTAAATGGCTCTTTAAGTGTAAATCGGTATGGAACAAATATTTCCTATTTAATGGGGTTGTAAAATGATTGTTATGTTGTAAGGCATTTATTTATAAATTATATAATGCTATCTTATATGTGTAAATCATTTAATGTTATTTAATAAATATTAAATTTGTTAAAATCAATATATTTTTATATGTGTAAGCTATTTAATGTTATTTAAAAAGAGTTAAATTTGTTAAAATCAATACAGTTTTAGTCTTAAAAAAGATATGGACTATAGTTTATAACACCATTGTTCTAGGATTAACTCTGGATTAGCGGCAAAATTTGACATCAAAGCCCGCCGGCTAAGTGGGAACACCCCATACTTATAGGCAAATGAAGGAAGTTGCTAGGTTGTGTCATGGGTTTAACTGCTTACAAAATGAAAAGATCGGAATATCTAGTACAACAACAGGAAGCATATATCCTAGTAACTACAAATTTGGTCCTAACTCAATTTTGATAAAACAAAAGTGTGTTACTCGGTTTTGATTTTTGACGGGGTATTTTGGTTTAAGTAATGTATTATGTCCTCATGAATAGAATGATTGTTAAATACTTGATTTATATACACGTGACACAATAGCTTTATTTATTTGTTGGGTGGGTTCACATAGCTTACCGCCTTTTATTATACCTTTGCCAATTTAAACCAATATTGATGTTGTGGCCTTCTGATATCCAATATTTAAGACCAAACAAACATTTTACCATTGGTACACGTATCGTGTACCATAATGCGTTTCAGCGCCATTTGTAACAAGGGATTCGAAGAACGAGTCTAGACATATTCCACAAGTCATGTCAAACGGTGACATCATATTCTTATCTGGAGAGCATGCACATTAATTTTTTGCGATGTAGACTGGAATGAACCAGACGCTAGAGATTGCCATTCGAATGAGACCATGACGTATTTCGCCGAACATAGCTGATTTGAAATTAAGAGTAAAAACAGAAACGATTTAATGTAAATCAGTTTATACACATTCATATTACATTATTATATGCGTTGCGACCCATTTGTGTCAATTTCTAGGTCCCAAATATTAGCAATCTGGTTAAAATACAGATCCTATTTCATTTCTTTTTTATAGTACAAATTTCGTTTTACTTGTCTTTACTACACTTGGATCTGGAAGAGTTGTTATTTAACTCG